AAGAAAGAAAAATATCCTGAATTGTTTTGTTCTTGCATAGAAGAGCAAAATAAGATTTAGAGCCCTAGATGAAAAAAAGATAAGGGCAGTTTCTTTCAACATTTCTGCCTCTGATATTGAAAGCCAACTTTACTCAAAATTTTGAAATTATGAAAATTTTATCTAGTTTGTGTGTTTATACTTCATCAGGCACTCACATATCACAGCCATATAAATATTAATTCAGATAGTGTTGGCCTTCCTACAAACCAACTTCACTTTTTGAATGAAATAATCTGAACACTTCTGGACTTAATCTTCATATCTTCCAGGGCTGAATCACCTCAAAAAACAAAACAAAATAAAATAAAATGATTTACTGTGATCAACAGGCATTCCAGAAATTTTCTCTGTAAACAAAAAGGGAAACAAGATGCTGTATAGCTCTGTTAGATCTATTTGTTCTTTGTTATTCTTACATTTATCTTGGTAGTATTCCTAATAAATTCTTTTATTATATTGAATTGTCAACAACATTTTATATGTTCAAAATTACCAGTACCACGTCTAAGAAGTACATGTATTTCAAACAGTTAACCTGAGGTAAACAATTTAGAGTCATAAAATCATAGAATCATAAATTTGGAAGAGATCACAAGGGCCATCCAGTCCAAACCCCTGCCATGCAGGAACTCCCAATCAAAGCATCCCCAACAGATGGCCATCCAGCCTCTGCTTAAAGACCGCCAAGGAGGAAGACTCCACTACACTCCAAGGGAGTGTGTTCCACTGTTGACCATCCCTTAATGTCAGGAAGTTCCTCCTAATGTTGAGGTGGAATCTCTTTTCTTGGAGCTTGCATCCAATGTTCCGGGTCCTAATCTCTGGAGCAGCAGAAAACAAGCTTGTTGCTCTTCAATATGACATCCCTTCAAATATTTAAAGACAGCTATCATATCACCTCTCAGCCTTCTCTTCTCCAGGCTAAACATCCCCAGCTCCCAAGTCGTTCCTCGTAGGGCAAGGTTTCCAGACCCTTCACCATTTTAGTTGCCCTCCTTTGGACACACTCTAGTTTCTCCACATCCTTTTTGAATTGTGGTGCCCAGAACTGGACACAGTATTCCAGGTGGGGCCTGACCAAAGCAGAATAGAGTGGCACTATGACTTCTCTTGATCTAGACACTATACTTCTACTGATGCAGACTAAAATTGCATTGGCCTTTTTAGCTGCTCCATCGCACTATTGATTCATGTTCAACTTGTGGTCTACCTGGATTCCTAGATCCCTTTCACACGTACTCTCATTCAGCCAGGTGTTCCCCATCATATATCTGTGCTTTTCGTTTTCCCACCCTCAGTGCAGTGGCTTACATTTCTCCGTGTTGAATTGCATTTTGTTTGCTTGTCCAGCTTTCTCGTCTGTTCAAGTCATTTTGAATGTTGATCCTGTCTTCTGGGGTATTAGCTACTCCTCCTAATTTGGTGTCATCTGCAATTTGATAACTATGCCCTCAATACTGTCATCCAAGTCATTGATAAATATATTGAATAGCACTGCGCCCAGGACAGAGCCCTGTGGCACCCCACTGGTCACTTCTTTCCAGGTTGAAAAGGAGCCATTGTTGAGTACCCTTTGGGTTAAGCCAGTCAACCAATTACAAATCCATGTAACAGTTACTTTGTCTAGCCCACATTTTACTAGCTTGTTTGCAAGAATGTCATGGGGAACCTTGTCAAAGGCCTTACTGAAATCAAGATATACTATATCCACAGCATTCCCTTCTTCTACCAAGCTGGTAATTTTATCAAAAAAAGTGATCAGGTTTATCTAGCATGACTTATTTCTCTGGAACCCATGTTGACTTTTTGTGATTATGGAATTACCTTCCAGGTGTTCACAGACTCTCTGTTTAATGATCTGCTATTTGGCAGAAATTTCACCAAGCATTAGTAGGCATGGTAATATTTTATTCCACCCATTAAGGCATGTTTCCCTGACTTCAAATTATGCAATAGTCCATTTAAGGAAACAATGTAATTAATAGATATGAGTCAAGAAGTTGTTGTGTGTTTTCAAGTAAATTCTGACTTTTTGCAATCCTAAAGCTAACTCATCATGAGGTTTTCTTTGCAAAATTTATTCAGAGGGTTTCCCCCCTCCTCTTCCTCTGAGGCTGAGAGAATGTGATTTGCCCATGGTCACCCTGTGGGTTTCCATGGCTGAGAGGGGATTGTAACCCTGGACTCCAGAGTCATAGTCCATCACTCAAACCATTTCACCACACTGGAAGAGGTGGAGGTTAATAGAGATGAAAGAATCCTGTAGCAAGCATTTATGGATTCTAGTTCACATCATCAGATGCAAGTGGACAGGAGTCCAGAAAAACCTGTGCTAAAGATTTATTTTTTTTTTAGTTAGTCTCAAAGATGCTATAGGATTCTATTATATCATTTAATAATAAAACTGACTAACAAGGCTTACAGTGGGAGCTAATAGGTTGGAAGCTGAATTGCACATTGGGCTTTAGTAAGAAGTAAAGAGGTGTGAAAAGAGAACTGTTCCCTTCATAATCAGTCTAATGAGGAAATGACAGAAATTAAGAGCCCCTGTGTGGTCATTTGTTTTGCACAAAGGGCTTTTTTTATGAGTAAACACACAGATGTTCATATTCAAATGGCTAAGCACACCAAGCCCTGAGTCTGATTGATTAAAATTCTGTGTCTTTTTTATCCATTAGTTTCTTTTAATATTTTTTATGAAATTTGAAGACATGTGTCTATTTTGAAAAATTATTATCAATATACAAATGTTTATGGATTTATTAAGCCCCACTGGAACAACAAAAATGAATACAGGGCACTCTATGTGCTGTTGGTTTTCAAGTATATTAGGTCAAGTACCTTACAGTATTAAGAAAACTGGCAAATTTAACATGCCAGGTGTCATTATCAAAACCAAATAATACCAAAATTTTCTAGTTGCCCAAATATGCATTACATTAGTGATCTGGAAACCATTGGTCAATAATTAATATTAAAATTACTATATATGTGTGTGTGTGTTCCCAGATATCATAAATGAAGCTGCTTTGCTGAATAAAGTTCATGTGCTCTGCAAGTCACTAATAATAGGCCATCTGATGAGTAAGTATCATGCCTTGTTTAAGAAAATACAGCAATATGCAGAACATGTAGAGAAGTTGCTTAAGAAAAAAGTGGGGAACACAGTACAATATAAGATGAAGTCCTCTGCAAGAAGACAGCCTAACCGAGATCTGAAGATGAGAGCATTATGAGAACTCACTAATATCTTCTTTTATACGCTGTTACTTTCGCTTTCAAGCAAACAGCAGAGAGCAGCACAGAGCTATGACCATGGGAGGGAAACAGTACTTTAAAACATACCAGTTGGACAAAAAGAAGCAGAAGCAGCACACAACTAACGAATAACCACTATTTTACCCATAATCACTGTCATTTCTTGTCACAGAAAAATGGTACTGAATGCCAGCTTAAAGCAAAAGATGCCTTTATCATGAGGTCAATCATCTCCAAGTTATATGGAGACAGCATTACATTTGCACATGGTTTTCTAGCCAGATGAGATACTATATACAAATAATGATGGATTCATTTATATATTCCATCATGTTAGCTTGTTGGATAGATTGTTTTACAATTGTATTATATTGGTGTAGCCAAAAGTCTATGAAGGGGAATTTATTTAGCTCAAATTGAGAGGGGGTTGGCTACAAGGACCCTGCGAGACCATCTTCCACATGTATACCAAGAGTTCAGGGGATCTAAGAATTGATTCAGAGACAGAATTCTCCAATTAAAGTATTATTTATTAAAGGTAAAATCACACAACAATTCACATACACACACACACTTATTCAAGGCTCAGGAAATCAGGAGTTGAAAAGATGTTGAAGCAGAACTACTGGTGATACAACAGATGAGGCTTTCTCCAGGATCCAATTGGGTGAAGTGGTATGAGACACAACCATTCCAAGAACCTGGGTTTGAACAGAGGTGCCAGTAACAGAGAGCACAGTGACACAGGGTCCCCATGAACTCCAACTAGTGACAATGAGGAGAAAAATCCAGGGGTTTCTAAAGGATAAAACTAGCTGCAGGGCAAAGGTGTGAGATTTCCTGGGTGAGGTAATCTGGTCTGGCAATATTCAAGGTAAATGGGAGAGGATTAAGTCATTAGTGGGCCCATCAGGTGAGACATCTAGGCCATTATTACCATTTCTCTGATTATGGAGGTGATGATGGTCCATTTGCAACTCCCACACTATCTACCTGGCTTTTGGGATGGGGTTTTGCCAGTCTTCCAAGTGACCTAGTTATGACCTGCCTGCCATTGTCCCAGTGGCACTTGGGGTTCATTGCAGTATACATCTGGGGTCGTGTGGAATTCATACACGCACCATAATTCAGAAAAAATGCACTTTTGGTAACATTGGTTTAATATGTGCATTGCATTACTCCCTCCTTCCCCACATACCTTTTTTTTACAAACATAATTGTTTTTTTCATGATTGTCTGCCTCTTATTTTATTTTGTGATGTGCCTTGTACATTGAAGATGCTATAGTAGTAGCAGTAGTAGTAGTAGCAACAGCAGCAACAACAACAGTAGCAATAGTAGTAGTAGTAACAAGAACAACAATAGAGATGATTATGATTACTCTTGAGTCCATTTTATTCCATTTCTGTGTTTCTGAACAAGTTTTGGATACATTGAATTACACATTGGCCCAAGAGGTTCAAATTTCATACACGAAACTGAAATGACTGAAATAACCAATCTTCTAGGTACCTTCTAGACTCCTTCTATGCCTTTTGGACATCATGGACATTTTAATACACTTCTTAACTTTTTATTTCTAGCCATATATGCATTTGTAGGGAAAAATTAACATTCAAATATAATTTGCATGCAAAGTCAGTTCTACATCTGTGTCAGAGAGGAACTGATTGTGCTGGACCCCAGGGAGAGCATTTCCATGTCCAAGCAGGGATTTGAAACCTGATCTCCAGATTCCTAGTACAGTATGCAAACCACTGTACCACATTGACTCTCTCCCATTATTCTGTATCAACATAAACAGTACTGAAGGAATCCTTCAGCACCTTTGAGACTAAGAGAAAGAAATCTGTAGCATATTGGTTTAATCTTCCAATAATAACAATGAAATGGTAGAATCAGTGGAGGTTTAATGGCGTTTGTTCTGGGTGTGTGTTAGTGTGTGTATGTGAGTGTACACGTGTACATTAATATAGATGTAAATATATAAATATATGTGCATAGATAGCACAATACTATCTATGTATTGTGGATTATTTTGTCTCATGCCTCTGACACAAAATTTACAATTGACATTAAATTACATTAGAATCCACAAAAGGAGCAGAGGAAAGCCTCTAAAAAAGTATTCCAACTATTTGTCTCTCCCATTTATGAAGGGGGATGTAACTTTAGCACCAGTCTCAGGGCAGGTGGCAGGTTTAGAAAGGGCCCTGTCAGTACTGACTATGATCTCCCAGTGCACCGTGCTATCTGGGAAACACAGAGACACACAGGCTATGTGTTACTAATTAGATTCTTGACTGTTGGCAGCTCTTCAGGAATGATTGACATAGTACCAAGGACTGAAGCTGCCATGAGCAATGTTTAGGGAAGTTGGGGGTTTAATCAGTTTCAGATTTCCATAATATATGGGATGGTTTTAAGCCCAGCTTTGGTATTTCTTTTCAGATTTCCCTTATCACACTCTTTTTTGTTTTTTGTTTATGGCAACTTGAAATAAGCTAAGCATCTGGAATCCATAGTAAGATAGCATATTGACAAGGTGGTTTATGAAGGAAGAGTGGTAAGTGTCAAGACCATGTGGCACCCTGGTCTAGAAAATGACATGAATGTGGCCACTGAAAGGAACTGGAGCAATAATAGAGTTACTACAGCTCAAATGGCAGGTGCATGAGTCAGCATTTGGTAAGCTGTGCATCATGGGAAGCCTGATGCAATATGCACAGTGGATAGGACAAGCCAGGTATGCATCATGGGAGGCTTGATGCAACAGTCCTGAT